TACGCGAGCGCAGAAGCAAGAGAGGTAGGTGCGGGTCCGTGGGCGTTAGGCGCTGGCGCTGGTGAGGGGACGCTAGGCGTTGGTGTGTTGGCACTAGGCGCAACATGAGCTGGCGCGCCTAAAGCAGTAGCGGAGGAACCTGCAACCACAGTACTAGGCCCGACGGGCATAGTGGAAACATCAGCATCATCCAAAAATTCTGAGTTGGTAGGGTCCAATGGTGAGGTCGACATCTCGGCGAAGGGAAATAGGGATTCATTACATACGACATGATGAGAAATAATGATCCTACTAGAATGAAGATCAAGACATCGATACCCCTTGTGGTCTGAGGAGTAGCCAAGGAAGACACACATGGATGAATGAGGCGATAGTTTATGGGGAGCTGTGGAAGACATGTTTGGGTAGCAAGCACATCCAAACACACTATAAGATGGATGAGTACCGAAAAGACCAAAGAACGGTGTGAGGCCGCCTATGGAATTAGTGGGATGACGACTGAAAAGATATGTGGTAGTGTGCAGGGTGTCAGGCTAATAGACAGGTGGAAGGCTACCTTGAAAGAGCAGAGTGCGAAGAATGTTGTTGATGGTGCGAAGGACGCGCTCTGCTTTACCGTTTTGTTGAGAGGTGTAGGGGCACGACATACGGAGGACTGCACCTTGGGTGAGGAAGAACGTGTGGGTCGATGAGTGATTGAACTCGTGGCCATTGTCGCACTAGACAGCCTTGAGAGGGGAGCCAAACTGTGTGCGCACATAAGCAAAGAAGTTAAAAAAGAGTGGCAAAAGTGTCAAGGTTAAGGCGAAGCGGAAATGTCCAAACATAGTGAGTACAATCATCAAGAATAACGAGATAATATTTGTAACCGGACACACTAGTAACAGGTGAGGTCCAAAGGTCACAATGTATCAAATCGAATTTATTGAGGGCTCAAGATTGTGAGGAATCAAAGGGAAGACGAACAGGCCAACCCAATTGGCAAGCATGACAAACATGATCATTCTTTGGTTTAGTGCAAGAGATAGCTTGAGAGGTAATGAGCTTGGACAAAGTTTCTGAGCCAAGATGACCAAGGAGGCGACGCCATAAGATAGTGGACACGAACGCAGCGGCAAGGGTAGGTGTGCTCGTGGGTGGGAAGAACGGATAGAGGCCGCTCGTGCTATTGCACCTGGCGATCACGCTCCGAGTTTGGAGATCCTTCACAGAAAGGCCAAAGGGGTCAAATTCAATAGAACAATTGTTGTCAGTGGTAAAGTGACACACAGAAATTAAAATCTTGATAATGCTAGGTGGGACTAAGACATTATTAAGAAAAAGAGGATGATTAGGTGTAGGAAAAGAATATAACCCGTGGAAGTAACAGGAAGCACAGCCCTGTTACCAATGACAATCAATGAAGGACCAAACAAGGAAGGAGGGTGTGAGGATGATAGAATACCAGCATTGTGAGCCATATGAGAGCCGGAGCCGGAGTCGGCGTACCACTCGGTGGACTGCTGTTGGGGTGGAGTGGCCATGATGGAGGGTGCCGGGGCGGGCGCTCTAGAGGCTCCCCTGTACTAGAAGTCGGGCGGTGCACCAAAGTCGGGCGGGGCGCCGAAGCCGGGAACACCATAGCCAGCCTGTGGATCGTAGGGCAGCATGGAGTGCGGCAGCGAGTGCACGTGGCTAGGAAAAAGTTTTTTTTCCTTTTCCTTTTCTTTTTTTAATTTTTTTCTTTTCTTTTCTTTTTTTCTTTTTTTGTGTGTCCCGTGCAAGAGTCACGAGGGGAAGCAATCCCGCCGACTAGGAAGGAGTCGCACGAGGGAGGGGACGCGCGCTGCTTGCAGGAGAAAATAAGGATGCGGACAACGTAGGCAGGGAGCGAGGCTGGGGAAGCGAGCGGCGATGTGGGCGTTGCAGGCCCGGTCGTAGTACAACTCGATTAGGATTGCGTGGAGAGAGAGGAAGTAGGAGTCCACGCGGATCACGGGCTGGTGGATGGGTGGACGCGATCGGGAGGAAATAAAGGAAAGGCAAGCGGTCACGCCTACATACGGAAGCGGGAAAGGAAAGGTTGCATGCGAAAGCAACAAAGAAAAGGCTGCATGTAGAAGCAAGAAGTTCGCAATGGGAAGAGGAAGAGGATGGCGATCGAACGCGGGCGCACGCGCGCGGAGACCGAGTCAGACGACGAGTGGCCAAGCAGAGTAGGCTGAGCGGGTGCACGCGTGCGACGCGACCGAGCGAAGGCTCACATGCGCGGACGGGCGGCCGAGCGGGCAGATCACGTGCGGCAGCTGGGATCGGTGGGCGGCGCTAGGAGAGGAAGAGGTCGCAGACGCTCGTGAGTTGCGCGCGAGCGAGAGAGGCAGACGCGGGATGCGAGCGATGGCGAGCAGCTAGCCAAAGGCACGCGTTGGTGAGCGCGATGGCACACCTATCACCCGAGCATGCAGTCGCGGTGGGGAGATCGGATCAGTCGAGTGCCCACGGCGTCGACGAGCAGACGGCCTCGATCGGCGGCGGCGGTGTTGCTGGTTGCAGGGCTGCGGCCGTGATCGGCACGGTGGTGCTGACGAGCGGATCGACGGCAACAGGCCACCTGGCGAGGAACTCAGCGGCAGGTGGAAGGCATGGCGAGGTTCTGGCGAAAGGATCGGCAGCAGCAAGGCACCTGGCGAGGAACTCAGTGGCAGGTGGAAGGCCCGGCGAGGCGCTCGGCGGCGAGCGGGTAGTTGGCCGACGACGGAGTCAGCGGGCGGCTAAGATTTGCAGAAGCGCGGTCGCAGGAGCGAACCGGCTCTGATACCATGAAAGAGTAATTGAAACGAAGGATGGTATTCCATATTATTTATGAGGTACATGTATAGACAGCGGGGATGGCATGCACGCCAACCGCGCAGGCGCACAAGTACAGAGCGACCATTGCTATATTTACATCATGCTAACCGTTAGCTCTGTCAGCACGGTCCAACTTTTTATCTGGACACATTATTTCTCGACGTTCCTCTGATTGTCCACTTTGGTAGGAGTTCGCCATTGGACGGCGGAGCGGCTGCTATCTGAAATCTGATCCATGTAGCCCGTATCGACGAGAAACTGGTTGCTTTGAGCGGTAGCACACGCCACAGCCATACGGTGATGAGCAGCCGACATTCGTGGCGGAAACAGCAGGCGAAGCCACAAATGGAGCAGTAAATAAAATTGTATAAGCACTCGAGATTGATGTCCCCGTGCAAAGCTGCTTAGGACACAAGAGCCCTCACATGGATAATGGATCGCAAAATGATCGCATTCACATGGACGGAGGGGGTCGATCCCAACTTCTCAAGTCAAGCGAGCACTGCCCCCTGCAGATTCGTGATTCGTGAACCAGCAGACGGCGGCGGGCAACGGCCATCGGCGTCAGGCGGCAGAACTTGCGGCAGGCGCGGACGAAGCAAAAGATGGGCCCAAATTTACCAAATCCGGCCGTGATGGCGAAACAAAAAGAGGATGGAATGGAACACTCCCGTCCACAGGGAAGAAGGCAATGGTGTACTACGCTAGGCCTCAATTATAAAATAAGATAAAAAAAAAGCATGAGATCGCGTTCTCGTCATCGGTGACCATGTTGCAGCACTGACCGTAGGAGATTAAGGTCTTGTTCGTTTCTCTTATAATCCGTACTTTTCAACTTATTTTTTTAACCGGAACAGTGTTTTTTCTTACAACAAATTAGTCAGAACAATGTTTCGGCTTGTTTTTCAGCAAAACGAACGAGGCCTAATAAGCGAAACAGGCTAGCTAGTCCAACGATCACCAGACGGATGGGTGCCGGAACCATCTCGTGTCGAGTCAGGTGGCCTGTTTCTTCGCTTTCAGAAACGAGCAGGGACCGATAAACGCATTCCGCTGGCGCGGTTAGACGTTTCCGTGGACCACGGAGTCCCAGGCCCAAAAGGGCCTTCACCACACCACAACTAGAGAGCTACTCGACCGGCGACGCGCATTCACGTCGCGTGATATGCTCCGGTTCTGGGCCTGCCCTCTCGTCTCGTGGGACCTGTCGATAGATGTCCCATTTGCACCCCCGAACACTCGAGTCCTCCGCGGCCAACCATGGAGAAAAAATCCTCTGGTCCAGAGTCCAGACGGCGACCCTGGCCTGGCCCCGTCAACTTGGAGCGGGAAAAGGCACCGGGCTCAAGTGGTGGCCGGCTGATGGTTCGGCGCCGCGCAGCCAGGCGATTTTCGCAGCACCAACCAAACCCCCCCGCACCACAGCGCTGTTTTCGCTTTCGTTCGTACGCGATGCGGATCCAGGAGGAGTGAAGAACGCGGCCCATATCCATCACCGCCGATTTCGACGCGGACGCGCGCAAAACAAGCTGCAAATCCCAACATCATTATAATGCCTTGCCACTGCCAGGGTAAGTGAGCTGTGAGCGTTCGCACTTCGTAGTCGTAGCTGCTGCAACTAGAACCATCATCGGCCCAGCGGCACCATGCTGCTGAGCCATGACTGACAAGGCCACGTCCGGCTGGTTTCCAGTTACCGGAAGACGCCAACGTTGCCAGGCCGGTCGGCGCCGGCGACGGACGATTAACATATCTAGAAATCGACGACAGAGACTGCAAGTCTGCAACACACGACGCGCAGCAGTGAGCGAAAATGGCAATGGAACAGTCAGGATCCCAGTGACAGTTGGGGCACGAAGTCGAAATGTCGACGAGATAACAAATCAGAGTCCCCGGCCACGCGTCCGCCAGTTGTTGCGGCGGCGCGGCCGGTATCCAACACCACCCGACCCAAACCCACCCCCCAGATTGCACAATCGACCACCGCTACACAAAAGGAGGCCTAAATTACTCCTATATCAGACCATCAGATGGCCTAAAAAGGGTGAAATTTTTATTCTTCTTTTGCAGAGCCTCCCGTTGCTTGCTCATCTTTCTCCGGTCCCTTTCACCAAAAGCGTACAGTACTCCGCAGCTACGTCGCGTGTACATCTCGTACACCGGCGCGCCGGTCACCTGCGCGCCTGCTCCGGCTGCGGGTAGGGCGCGACGCGCGTCCGCCGGGCACCATCCGGCGGCGCGCGCCCGCCTACGCCGCCCCCGCCGTCGCCGTTCACGATGTCCTCCAGCATCTTCTGCAGGTCCTCCAGCGTGTCCGGCTTCTGCACGGAAGCTAAGGTTAATTACAATATATTAAACAAATATAAATCCGCGTGGTGGTGGTGGGTGGGTTGCGTTGCGCCTACCTCGTTTTTCACGTTATCCATCATCACCAGCATCTCCTGCATGAAGTCGGAGAAATCCTGGCCGTCCGAGAGCAGAGCAGGGAAATTAATTTCTTATCATCAGGCTACAAGATACACATATAATAATTGCGCACAAAATGGCAAAAGGATTTGATTGATTTCGACGAGACAATAAGCAGCAGGAACCAAGGAAAAAAAAGAGGACAGGAAACAAAACCGAGTGCTGATTCACCTGGTCGTCGTCGTCGAGGGATCGAAGAGCCCGGCGTCGTACATGGCCTTCTTCCCTTGTCCGACAGAACTGCGCCAACCAAACAAGCAATTCGATCAAATCTCGTGAAATCCAAGCATAACCAAACACGTAGGCCTTACCGGAGTATGCCTCCTGGATCCGCTGGAACCGGCGCTTGACCTCGCCGGCCGCGCCGGGGTCGCTGGCCCACCGGTCCGGGTGCCACTTCTGCGCGCCCACGGCAAGAGATCGGAACATGTGAGCGGGGTCTGTTCGGGAGGGGAGAGGAGGAAACAGAAACACACAGAACCAAATCAATCAAACAACGGCGCGAGGCCGCCGCGCGCGCATGCACAGCAAGCGAACTCACCATCGCGAGCCTCCGGTAAGCAGTGCGTATGTCGGTGGCGGAGGCGTTCTTGCGGATGCCGAGGAGCGCGTAGTAGCAGCACGTCGATGCGCCGCTGCCGGAGGCATTGCCGGATACCCCGTCCATGATGTTGGAATCGCAGTCGCAGCAGCAGCAGGCGAAGCCGGCCGGGCACCCGCGACGACGACGCGGCGCGACGCAGGGCAAGGCAGCAGCGCTACAAGCCTACAAAGGCATCGAATTGGAAAGGAGGCGAGAGATGGATGGATTCAAGGAAGGGAGGCGAGAGAAAAAAAAGTTTTTATTCCGCGGGGAGGGCGTGAGAGAAATATCTCCTCTCTTCTTTCTCTGAAATAGCAGGGGGGGATGCTTTGGTCGTCGGGGGTTGGGGCCAGTGAAGGCTCCAGAGCTCGTGCCGCGGCGAGATATTTTCGAGCGCCCGCTCCGGGCTTCGCCACCGAGGTTCGCGGCTATTTACGAGATTGGGATCCTTTCTGGATTGTGGATCTCGCCTTCTAGACACGCTGCGTGGGCCACGATGATTTTTTTTTTGGGCTCTGTCTATTTGTTAGTGCGTTATTAATGGGCCATGAAGGTTGCTACTATTGACGAGCCGTGCAACTTCTGATTTTTTTTAAAAAAACATTTTTACATTCTAAAATATCATCACCTCCCTCAACTCTTAAAATTATTTATGTTGGCTCTATGCCCTGGTTCGAAGTGTTTCGTCATCTTTTAATTAAGAAATCTGAAAAAAAACAATTGATAAGATTTTAAAACCACAAAAAAGATATCTCTAATATTCAGAATTCCAAGAAACATTTTTGAGACAGATTAAAATATTTTGTGAATTTTCCTAATTTTTTCAGTATTTTTCTCATTTTTTCCTACAACTAAATCTAATTTCTGGAAGCTCTAAATATTTTCTTGAAATTTTAAAAATCTTAGAGACATTTTTTGGAGTTTTAAAACATTTTCTGTTGTTTATAAAAAAATCAATTAAAAGTGATGAAACCATCTTAAAAGCCACTTCTAACCAAGACATGAGGTAACTTAAACAATTTTGAGAGTTGAGGGAGGTAGTTTGTACAATTTTGGAGTTTAACGAGAAACCCGACTTCAACAATAGTTTAGAGAGGCAAAAACAACTTTTTCCAAGGTTTTTCGACCATATGCTTCCAATTATACAATGCAAATGTTCAGCAGAAAAATGCCGCCTACCATCAATCTTGTGTATAACGAGTGTTACAGGCAATTAACTTATCTCGAGACTTGATTCGATTAAAGACTTTTTACAAACCAATCAGAGTATCAGACTAAAGTCGTATCATCCCACGGATCATGCGAGACATGGATCAGTGACTAGACATTAGACCTAATCATTTGCTTAGTTTAACGTCTCATGTAATCACCGAGCAGTCGCGTCCATTCGAGACGTCTGTCCACTATAAATAAAATACCAAAGATTAATCAATGAAAAACACAGTTCAGTTCATTTCTTCTTTTGTTCTTGTTATTGTCTTTACATTCAAACGGATAAACGGGGAAGCTCGCCAAAGAGCACGCGAGCGACTCTTGCTCACCTTCCGTCGTCGATCGGTTCATTGCCACCGCTCGTCTCCGCTCATGCTGTGCGTTGCTCTTGCTCCCGCTGCGGAAGAAAGCATTGCGTTCCTCCCGAGTGAATGTACCGAAGTAGCCCATGCTCAAGAATTGCCAGGGAAAATCTTCGGTGAAGGCTTTAAGTAGGCCTGGCTTCTGTTAACTTGAGCTAAAAAGTCAAAAACTTTATAGTACGCAGTATAGACCGTTTGTCCATTCCAGCCATACAGACCGACCTGCGGGCTGTGGCTGAGAGCCAGATTGGCACATTACCTAGCAATCGACGCGAAAAAAAAATATCGCACTGAAAAATCCTTTCTGAATTCTGAAAGATTGCACATGCGTGCAAAATATATAGACATCAGTTACAAGAACATAAAGACCAATAAGAGCTCGTTCGGTTCTTCAGAAATGCACCTAGTAATGTTCCAACTGATCAATGCTTATATAAATTAGCCGAGCAATCCGGGTAAGTATCGTTCCAGGAATGATTCCCTACTAACCGAATGAGCCCTAAAGCGTCTCGCATAATCTGGAACAGAATGAAGAAATCCTATGCTTTTGCATGTACCTCAATGCAGTTTAACAAACAAGAGCAGTAAAATATTGTACCAGAAACATCGAATTCAACCAAGAGAAGACTCGGTTCCTCAGTCGCACCTTAAAGGGAAGATAAAACCAACCAAAGGATTCAGTCGATTTATACGTCTAATGCATACATACAAAAAAAAAATCCAGATTCTGAAAGTGCGGCCCTGTAGGGGATTCTTTGACCCTTGTGATCAGTATATCACACCTATCTATTCCTCTATCCTGTGCTCCAACTCCAAGTAACATATCAAATTGTCAAGTACCTAGACCTCAAGAGTTGATCACAAATGCCACAGTTTTAACATGCAGTGGATAATGCAAGTGAGAGCTCGAGCCAAAATAGACTTCATCTTCTGTTTTGGTGGATGGTAGCTTTTCCAGCTATCACTTAACTGGGAATCAATGCTGCTCTACGATCAAGCACTAGAATAGCGTCCAGGATAAACAACACATCTTTTGTTCAAGGGAAATAATTGTGAAGAGGAAAATCAGTTAGAACAGTCCTGCAGTGTTCAGCAGTTTTGTTTCAGAACCATAAAAACACTTCAAAACCATAAAAGACAAGCGACCATCAGGATGTTCATGGCCAGAAATGTCACCTAATGAAGAAACTTATCTAAGATAAACATCAGCAACGAGAAATGTACACTTGGACAGTGACCTTTCACTATCAGTGTTATATAAATGGTAAAATAAAGTGCACGATCCCAGACATTTTTCAGTTCAGAAGATGAACTCATGGGCGTACTAAAAATTAAAATCTTGATCAACATGAATGTTTCCCCATTCATGTTTTAAGAGCAGCAAGATCCCATATTCATTAGACAAAATCTCTGAGGCATTACCCTTTGCAGTACCTGAATGTTTCCCCATTCAAGTTTTAAGAGCAGCAAAATCCCATATTCACTGGACCAGATCACCGAGGCATTAAAACAGAACTAATTGTACCCAACTAAAGAGCACATCAAACATCTTACATTCATACAGACCAGTTGGTTACTACCACTATCATAACACATAAACTGAAACAGATAGCAAAGAAGCTAGTTAGTTTAAGCTCCATCTACTAACAGTAAAGCCTCTTGCATAGATAATTAGATACTCAAAAGTGTAAATTAGTAGGTGGAATGATGGAAAACCATATTACACTCTACAGCCCCCTGAAGAAAGGTGGATCACGTGCAGCTCTATTCTCTTGCTCTCAGAAGAGTGCATGTGGAACGAGGCTTTCTCTGAAAACATTTACAGTGAAGTTTAGCAAGCGGCCATTGCATTGAAATTTTTCCAGTAAATTGCCATTTCTGTCAAAGTGCAGCTGCCAATGATAACCATCAACCAGCACATCTCCCTCCCGGGATAGAATATGCGAGCACCAAGAAGGAGGAGCAGGAACAACAGGTTGTCCTCTCTTGGCCCAGTAGTTCCGCAACTACTACCGTGGTTGTTGCCAACGGGGATCCCCCATTCCGAAAGGTAACGGGGCCGGCCCTTAGGTCCAAAGTTGTATGCCACTGCTGTGGTGCCGATAGATTCACTACTGAAGCCCCGTTATCGGACATTGCAGGCTTAGCATCTATTTTTCGTATATCGCTCCACCACACCGAGAAGAGGTATGTGTTGCGCCTATGCAAGACTAGGCTCTCACCTATGTGGAACGGATGCTTCTACTTGGTCATCATAGACCAGCAAATCCATTTGAGAGCTGTCTTTCTTTGTCCTTGATGGTAGTTCTTCACGCTCACCATCTCTGCAGAGCTTAACAAGATAATCCACGCCAACAACCAAAGCCAACAAGCCTTCGCTCAGAAGCTCTTTCTTCATCTAAGCTTTTAGTAACATTAGCTGTCATCAATAGGGTGGAACGCATTAACCAGTAGAAACCTTGCTTCAAGGTAGATTCTTACATGTTTGGAGTTTTGTCTGGATCCAGGTACCTCAACTATTGGCCTTACATGGCCTGACATGGGTATTCCATCTTTCTAGTCCCACTCTTCTCCAAGTTCTTCAAAGCGGCTTGTCTCAACGACTGGCAATTTAATGCGGTACTTGTGGATCCATACAACACCTTTGTAGTCCTGCAGAAGCCAAAGATTCGCCTTTGATCCACTGACATTACTGTTCGATATTGCATGCATGCCATCAATCTCAAGCAAGGATGACATCAAAGCTAAATTCTTAACAGGTGCATGCAACAACCAGAACACTTCACCTATGGTGTCGAACACCAGTATGTCTCTGCAATTGGGCAAGGAAATCAGCCAGTGCAGGTTGCCATGGAATAGGAAAGGCTCTTTAAAGTCTATAGCATCAGATCCTGTTGCTATCAATTTTCTCACAAATACCAACGATGAATGGGACCTAATGCACCTCTCATTCCCCGATCCCACCGTGCTGATGTAGAATGTAGTTTCCAAACCAATTTCTCGGTAGTACAATACTCGGTACTCGGAGCCATGAACATAAAGCCCGGCAGCCTTGACCTTGACATGTTTAAGCGCGGGTGGGAAGACGGAAACCCACTGACGAGTGGTCGGATTGCTGAGATACAAACGATTTCTGAACGACATGAGCAGGAGACCATCGCAAGCACCGTGGACGGAGAACGGTCCGTCACTCACCAACGGGTCGTAGTAGTCGAAGGTGAACCGAACGACGGACCGGAACTCGTGCTTGTGGAAGTCAAGAACTTCGACGCAGTAGTCAACAAGTCTCAGGTTGTCGTAGTGAGTTCCCACGTCGCGGACGAAGGTGAAGAGGCGCCGCTGAGGTTGGCGGCGGTGGTGGGAGATGAGGAAGGTGCGGTCGGAGGTGATTCGGCGCCATGCCTTGCAGACGGCGTGGGACAGGAGGACGGATTTCGGCGGCAGCAAGAGGAAAATTTGCGAGAGGATCTCTTCAAGGAGGTTGGCGATGTTGAGGGTACTCCGCCGCAACTCTGGCGGCCTCGTGGTCTCCGCCATTACCACCGAGCGGGAGCCAGGAGCACCAAGTAACAACGGATGACTCGGGTTACGATCCTAAAGCTGCTCCCTCGCCCTGAGATGCATCAAAATCTCCATGTGAACGGGAGGAAAAATACAAAATAGAGTTCCAAACCAAGATGAGATTCAACGAAAATCCATCTGAAGAATGTACTGGGATCGAAGCTCACCTCACTCTGGAAGTCACCATTCATCTTCCTCTAACACGATCTGCTCAACTTCCTCAAGTGGCGGCGGCGGCAGGCGGTCAATGAGAAACGCGAGCTTCAACCTTTTCCCCGCCTGGGTGAACAGACAGCTAGCGTGCGCACCGCATGTGTCAGCGAGGCCTTCGTCGAGCAAAGTAACAAAGCCCAAAAAGTTCGGGTACTCTTATTGGGCCTTATCCACACATCAAAGCAAACACTGATAAGCGTCCAGGCTGACGATTTCATGGACCAATTACTATATACATATACATATACATGATTCACCACGAAAGAAATTCGCTCGCAATAACGTTCATCAATCTTCCAATTCAAAGAAGGCATTCATCAGGAATTCAGGATTCTGCACCTTTGGTTCCACAAAGCAAGGATCCAAGTGAAATAATTACTAAGCAAAATCGGCAGTGAAACATGTGTTAATAAAAAACTGCCGTAGTCTTCATTCCTGAATCTGCAATACCTAAATCTGCTCGCCATCAAAGCCATGTAACAGAAGACTCATATTACATATCTATTTTGCATTTTGCATGACTGTCATGGGGGCCAGCATTGACTTATTGACAGTCTCACATGCGATGAAATAATAATCACAGTGAAATGGACAGTTTCACATGACAAAAACTAACACAGGCGTCTTAGCGCTACAGCTTAAGCACTGCAACAAGAAGAAACATTATACACTAGCTAGAATGCAAAATGGGCTAGGAAATTCAGTGAGTGCACGGCTCAGCACTTCGAAACGACACCAAGTTCAAGCCGCAATGAATAGTTCCATCTCAACATATACCAGAAAAATGGGCTAGGAAATTCAGTGAGTGCACGGCTCAGCACTTTGAAACGACACCAAATTCAGGCCGCAATGAATAGTTCCATTGCAACTCTGGTAACAGATACCAGAAGCGTAAGGCACCTTTCCTTAATACGTAGATCAGAACCAAATATAGGAATTCCATGCTGCACCAAAAAAACTACAGACCTACTGACATACAAAAACAGTTTTCCTTCTATTACCCAAATCCTTAAATGCACAGAATTGTATTCCTAAATTATGGACAAGTAAACGTAATGCTGTAGAATACCTAAGTATCAGTATCAACTCAATTTTCACAGAATCGTATCAGTTTTGACTAATACACCGAAGTATCAGTGCTACTCGCCTAGGACTGCAGCAATTCTTATGTGCAGGCAGATTTGCCTTATCCCAATCATGCTGTGAAAACTTGAATATTTCCAGCACAATGAGTGTTTATTAATAAAATGTTCAAATCAGAGAAATGCATGCAGCTAAAGAGAACAGTAAGCCCTGATCATATCTTTCATGTTGCCAAGGCAGCCAACAGTCTGAAACTCTGAACTCTGAAACATAAGGTTCATATCAGCTTTGCGCAAGAAGAAGATATTAGTGTCAGATGAAAATGTCTCTCCCGTTTTCCAAATCAAGAGTGACGATCCAATATCATGACCACACAGCCAAAACTCTCATAGAAATCATAGCCCAATCTAAATAGTCATCAGAGGAAAGGTGGTTTGTTGGGACTATGGTTCTTCATCCCAAGCGATGCATGAGGAACAAGGCTCCGCTTAAGCATATGTGGACCAATCTCCAGCAAGCTGCAATCACACGGCAAAATTGCCACTGAATTGCCCTCCCCAGCAGGCGATTCATGAGATCAACCAGCACATCTCCCTCATGGGACACAACAACAGCAGTCCACAAATCGAGCAATCCAAGGAAACGGCTGATATCTTCCACCGGCAATTCAATGCGGTACTTGCAGACCCAAACATTGGATTTGTAGTCCTCAAGAAACCACAGATCAACCCTCGAGGGCCCGTCATCCCCGAAAGTCTCGCTCCAGCTACTTGACATGGCAAGAACACCCTCCATGTCAAGCAGCTTCACATTTGAGACAAGCTGGTTGTTCACGTTGACGGCAGGAGAAGGCATCAACCGGAACACTTCGGCGACCGTGTCGAAGACGGCTATGGAGTTGAGGAGGACGGGCGGTGTGTGCCGCGCAAACCAGGTGTGCCATGAGGAGTGTAGTGGGGATACCTGACGACTGACCAGCCTCTGCTTCCTGGTGCCGGCCGCCATGACGTAGTAGTAGTAATTTCCATCTTCATGGCGCCGGAAGTAGAGCACCCAGTAGTCGTCCGAGATCCTGTGCGAGTAAAGTCCTGCGATGGTGTTGTCGCGGTGAAGGGGTGGGAGGCGACCCCAGTGGCGCGTGGTCGGGTTGTAGAGGAATAGGTGTGGTCGTCGGAGGATAGGAGGAGGACCCCGTCGCAGCAGCCATGGAGAGCGATCACGGTCACGCGCCATCCACCCATTGCCGTGGCGGGAGAATCTGACGACAGCCTGCAACTCGTTGGCGCGGAGGTCGAAGACCGCGAGCCGGTACTCGCTGACCTCCGGGTCGCGGCCGTCGTTGAGGATGAAGTAGACGAGGGGCAGGGAGCGCTGGCGGCGGTGGTGGGCGAGAAGGAACCTGCGGTCGGAGGCGAGGCGGAGCCAGGACCTGCAGACGGCGCGGCAGCGGACGACGGACTTCGGGGGCAGGCGGAGGAGGATGTCGTACATGATGTCTTCAGGTAGATCCAGCCAACCGCCCGGCTGCCGCGGCTGCGCTCTCGCTGCCTTGGCCTAGCTTTTCTCCGCAACATATGAAAGCAAGAAACAAAATAGAACTGCAAGAGCTATCCGGTGCTTGTTTGAGCGCGTGTTTAGTTCCCACCTTAAATTCTTAAAAATGTTACAGTAATCATCACATCGAATCTTGCGATACATGTATGGAGCATTAAATGTAGACGAAAAAAAACTAATTGCACAGTTTAGTTGGAAATTACGAGACGAACGTTTTGAGCCTAATTAGTCCATGATCGAACAATATTTGCCAAATAAAAACGAAAGTGCTACAATAGTTAAATTTCCAACTTTCACCCAACTAAACACGTGCTGAATCTCCTAAGATAAAAAAAAGGATATCAGTTTTAACTAAACGTGATTTATTAGGATTTTATTAAGGGAACGGAGTTATTAGTTTGTTTAGGTCTGAGTTAGCATATTAGTATATTACACTTTGGATAGCATAAATGAATATAAGTTTTGTATGCTTGTATTGTTCTTGGATATGATCTACTCCCTCCGTCCCTAAATAGTTATTGTTTTTTTTCGTGCCGTAAGTTTGACTAAGTTGTTCGGCTGATAGTTTTTGTGGCTGATAAGTCGACTGATGCTGTTTTGTTATGAGAGAAAAACATTATACCATGGCTGGTAAGTCGGGTTGATAATTTCAGGCGAGCAGGGCAGAAAATCTCGCCATAAAGTGTGGTGTTCGATTTTCTGGCCATAAGTACGCATGGGGTGAAATACGACTAAGAATCAAACACGCACAAAGACAATTCAATAGCACAAGTCTTCGGTTCGACTCCCCGTGCGAGCCAGGATTTAACAGCGTTTCTGTTTTCAATGATAGATGATAAGGCGTCTTTGGTGACTACGTCAATCTCGATGATTTGTCAGTCTAGTCTTCGAAGATGTTCATGGAGTAGAGTTTATGTGCGCGCATTCACACGGTTGAGTGTCTGAGTTGTACTGTTTAATTGAAAAAAAAACCCTCAAAGGAACACGATTTGTGACCGACAACTATGGGTTGTTGCGAGCCATTGACGAGCCCCCATAGCCTTATGTGTGGGATGTAGAGTGTGGGAAGAGGTAATAATGGATCAGGGTCCAAGTCCATATAGATTGGCTGAAAATTTAGGAAAATTAACTGAAAATGTCACGTTCATACCTTAAGTATTTAGTAAGATTGATTGAATTTTTTTTAAAAAAGATTCGGTGCCACAACCCACTACTTCTTTATGCATATGGCATATGGGTCCCACTTCAAAAGCCAGTCCTCATAATTTTAAACGCTGTGTTCATACTTTGAGTTTTCACCAGAAAAACTAAAATTTTATTAGAAATGATTTCATTATGACAAACCTCGACCTCCCAATGGCCCAATCTACGCGGGCCTCTGAACCTTGAAGGCGGGGAGAACGAACTGACAGCCCATGATCCAAAAGAGCTAATCGGGTCAGGCCTTCGTTAATAATAACAACTATAAGCCCATACAATGTACTGTACACATATATCCGTTTTGTCTCGCTCAAAAAAAAAGCCCGTTTTGTTGTGTTGACTGTTGACCCTTCGTTAACCACTATAAACATTGTTTTTCCTCGCCAACTCCATGGAGGTAATTTATGCTTGTGAATTTTTCGTGTCCCTATAATTCTATCACTAGCAGGCTGGACGATTTAATAGTTACGGCAGAATGACAGTCCGTGTCTTCAGTCTATGCCTTACTTGCTCAAGCAATGTTTCGACCCAACTGCTGTCGATAAAGGCTTTTCCTTCCCTTCAATCGCACGAGAAAGCTGGACAAACGTAGCATCCACCTCACACTTGATCGGGATTCTGCGTCTTTACTTCCGCGACGCTAAGTTCCTACATCATACTATAACACCTAGCGAGATGACCGATCTCAGGGCTTCCCAACGCTCCAAGTTGGCGTGCTGCCTCAATCGCCATATCAGCACGGGATGTCCAGATCACAACGCATGGTGGTGGTTTCGCAGGCCGTCAAAACAAGCGTAGGTCTCATTTGACAAAAGTTACCAGCAGCACTTGAAGTTGGCCTTGTGGAGAAGAGAGACCCCAAGGGACCATGCCAAGTTAAGAATAAAGAAAGTTATGATAGGAAAAGACTCTGAAAAGTTACTGCACTCATGCATGCGTTGTGAGACCAGTGCCTCAAACTCATCTTCGTCTACATGCACCATGCTTTTTGGCTGAGGCTAACAACGCTATCAGCCTGCGTTGCTGGTGCCCTCACGACACCGCATTTTTTTTTTTTGAGCAAGAACACCGAGGGTGACGATGAGTCCCCACCTGAATATGTTTCCACTTATTCCAGACGAGGTCTGGTGGGTGGACGGGCAATGGCCCTAAACGGTCGGCATGGTGCCAATTACAATAACGGGAGGGGATACAGAGATAGACTACATCCAAATAATTGATCTCCAGAAGCTAGAGAGGAGAGAGGATTTCCTAGGGATACGGCACTGCCAGAGGGCTACAGTTGTCTTGCAAGCCATTACTAACCGATCAACACTTGTATGGAGGTGTTTTGAAAGTTGCCAGCAGCAAAGGAGGATTAGGGATGATGTTTTTTTTTCTTCTTTTCTCGAATACGCAAAAGATTTGCGTATCATTGTAATTAAGAAGAGGAAGAGTTTAACCATACATATGACACGTTTCTAATGAGCGCCCTAGGAGGTCTTACAGTTGTGACTGGATCATCCTAGTAGACTATTTCAAACTTCGAATACGCAAAAGATTAGGGATGATGTTACTTTAGGATGGGTCCCAACTGGGGGGTTGGCGGGCCATAGGTTCTCCATCGATCCTATCTCCTCCATCTTCCATCAAACCCTAGCCTAAAATTGGCGGGCAAAGTCACAGGTCATGATGATATGGTCTGCATCTTCATCGTTTTTCTTGCACAGGTCACAGGTTGCATCAGTGAGCACTCCCTCCTTCTCCAGGTTCACCTTGCACATGTCATCGCCAAATTTTATTTTATCAGTCGTTGCAGGCAGCAGCACTAGGTAATCTAGCAAATGGAATATGTTTTGGCAGTTGGGCTTGGCCAAAGCCTCTGGGATTTGCAATCTAGTAGAAGACTGGGGCAGCCTCCTATAATAAAAGGATAAATACCTGCCTTTGCCACCACGAACTCGCCATGTGCAAGGTGCGCGGGAGGTTGCTTTTCTTGGTCATGCTGAGCTAAAACCTCAACGCAACGCAACCAAACTTTCCAGCCCAATCATCAGGAGTTTACAAAAAAAAAATGAGAAGAAGAAAAAGCCCAATCATCAGGAGGCGGCCGCGGATGATTAGATTCAGGCTTTGCAATTTGCCATGTTAAGGGCCCGTTTAGATCAAAAAAAATTTGGATTTTGGCTACTGTACCACTTTCGTTTGTATTTGGTAATTAGTGTCTAATTATGGACTAATTAGGTTTAAAAGTTTCGTCTCACGATTTCTCACCCAACTATGCAATTAGTTTTTTTTTCTACATTTAGTACTCCATACATATACCGCAAGATTCGATATGACAGATACTGCGCAAAAAATTTTAGAATCTAAACGGAGCCTAAACAAAAGTCAAGCTCTTCGTTCAGAGCTGGACAGCGCGGGCATCACCAAGTAGGCGGAGTAAACGCGGCTGCTCCGACTCCGAGGCATCACATGGAGCTTCGTACTCGCACTTCCAGTTGGGGCGCGTTTAGTTGCCCCCAAATTTGACGCAGCCTAAATTCTATAGGCACTATAGCATACTGTAGCATTTTGTTTGTATTTGGTAATAATTATCTAATTATTGATTAATTAGGCTTAAAACGTTCGTCTCGTAAAATACAACCAAACTGTGCAATTAGTTTTTAATTTCGTCAACATTTAATACTCCATGCATGTACCGCAAATTTGATATGACGGAAAATCTTTTTTTATATAGTGCCAAAGTTTGAATTCTGGATGAACTAAACATGGCCTCGGTGGAGGCGAAGGAACTGAAATTGTGTACGAATACGAAGCAACCAAGTCAATTCACGGCCAATTTGTTATAGTCCTATCATACCAGCTCATTGGATAAGGCTGTTTTTTCTCTCATAAATACCAAGTACTCCGTCGGTCCAAAAACGAATGGAACTATGTGTTGCGTGTCCACAAAAGTAGTTTATGTTTAACTAAATTTCTAGTAAATACTATTTATATTTACGGCTCTAAAATAATTTATTATAAAAATATATTTCGTAATTAATTTAATGATATTTATTTAATATCATAAAAATTGATATTTTTTATCTATAATTGATCGAACTTAAGATACAAAACATTGACTATATGGTAGAATTGTATTTTTTTCTTGAACGGAGGGAGCAGTACTTTGTATGACAGTCACGAGTCTACCAAACCGTATTTTGGCCCTGTTCGTTTCTCTTATAATCCGTTTTTTCAGCTTATTTTTTCAATCGGAACAGTGATTTTCTCTCACAATAAAGCCGGAACAGTGTTTCAGCTTTGTTTTTTCAGCGAAGCGAACAGTGACTTTGTTTGTGCAAATTCTTGAAAAAACAAAACCCATCCCCCTGTCTTCCCTTGTTAAAAGACAAGGCTCTATCAAAGAGGACACAGGCTGTTGTAAAAAAAAAAAAAAAGAGGACACCGGCCAGTACGTGAACACTGGGGCGACAGGTATACCGCTACCGCTGTCGAGTCCAGCTGTTCTGCAGTAGCAGCGCCATACCGCCCTTTGAGTATTCTCGATTTTCTCTCATCCATCCATCCATCCATCCATCCGGGGCGAGTGGAGACTGGAGAGAAAGAAAACATACAAAAATCGCGGCTGCATACATCAGGCGGGCGAGGACAATTCAGCACGTCGCGGCGAGGGAGAGCGCACGCGACGACGGACAAGGACACGAGGCCCGGCCGCGGCGCGGGCTCGCCGAGACGTGTCAGCGCGCCACGGC